TACAGTTTATATTGTAAAAATAGGAGATAACTCTGTATATCAATTACAGTTTATATTGTAATAAAGGGAGATAACTCTCTAATTAATATCAATTACAATTTAAATTGTAATAACGGGAAATAACTCTATATATCAATTTCAGTATATAGTGTAATAATAGGAGATAACTCAATTTGGTATCAATTACAGTTTATATTGTAATAAAGGGAGATAACTCAATTTTATATGTCAATTACTGTTTTTTTATACATCAATTACAGTTTATATTGTAATTAAGGGAGATAACTCAATTTTATATATCAACTACAATTGATATTGTAACAAAGGGGGATAACACAATTTGATATTAATTACAGTTTATATTGTTATAATGGGAGATAACTCTTTATATCGTATGAAATTTATAGTGTAAAAATGGGAGATAACCCAAATTAATATCAGTTACAGTTTACATTGTAATAATGGGAGACAACTCAATTTAATATCAATTACAGTTTATATTGTAATAATGGGAGTTAACTCAATTTAATATCAATTATAGTTTATATTGTATTAATGGGAGATAAGTTTATATATCAATTAAAGTTTATAGTGTAATAATGGGAGATAACTAAATTTAATTTCAATTACAGTTTATGTTGTAATAATGGAAGATAACTCTATATATCAATTAAAGCTTATATTGTAAAAAAAGTGAGATAACTCAATTTAATATCAATTACAGTTTATATTGAAATAAATGGAGATAACTCTATATATCAATTAAAGTTTAGAACTTACTAATGGGAGATAACTCAAATTAATAGCAATTACAGTTTATTTTGTAACAAAGGGAGATAACTCAATATATCAATTAAAAATCATATTGTAATTAAGGGAGATAACTCAATTTTATATATCAATTACAGTTTATATTGTTATAAAGGAAGATAGCTCAATTTAATATCAATTACAGCTTATATTGTAATAATGGGATATAACTTAACTCTATATATCAATTACAGTTTAACTTGTAATAAATGGAGAAAACCCAATTTTATATATCAATTACAGTTTATATTGTAATAAAGGGAGATAGCTCAATTTAATATCAATTACAGTTTATGTTGTAATAAAGGTAGATAATTGAATTCTATATATCAATTACAGTTTAAATTGTAATAAAGGGAGATAACTCAATTGTACATATCAATTACAGTTTATATTGTAATAAAGGGAGATAACTCCATTTTACATATCAATTAAAGTTTATATTGTAATAATGGGAGATAATTGCATTCTATATATCAATTACAGTTTATGTTGTATTAAAGGGAGATAATTCAATTATGTATAGTAATAATGGGAGATAACTCAATTTAATATCAATTACAGTTTATATTGTAATAATGGGAGATAACTCAATTTTATATATCAGTTACAGTTTATGTTGTAATAAAGGGAGATAACTCAATTCTATATATCAATTACAGTTTAAATTGTGATACTGGGAGATAACTCAATTTCATATATCAATTACAGTTTATGTTGTAATAAAGGGAGATAGTTCAATTCTATATATCAATTACAGTTTAAATTATAATAAAGGGAGATAACTCAGTTTTATGTATCAATTATAGTTTATATTGTAATAACGGGAGATAACTAAATTTTATATATCAATTACAGTTTATATTGTAATAATGGGAGATAACCCAATTCTTTATATCAATTAAAGTTTATATTGTTATAATGGGAGATAACTCAATTTTATATATCAATAAAAGTTTATTTTGTAATAATGGGAGATAATTCATATTTATATATCAATAACAGTTTATGTTTTAATAAAGGGAGGAGACTCAATTTTACATTTCAATTACAGTTAATATTGTAATAAAGGGAGATAACTCCATATATCAATTACAGTTTATTTTGTAATAAAGGGCGATAAGTAAATTTTATATATCAAATACAGTTTATATTGTAATAAAGGGAGATAACTAAATTTTATATATCAATTACAGTTTATATTGTAATAAAGGGAGATAACTAAATTTTATATATCAATTACAGTTTATATTGTAAGGGAGATAACTCTATTATATAATTCTCAACAACATTGACTTCAATAGACAAATATTGTAAGGGAGATAACTCTATTATATTGTTCTCAGCAACATTGACTTCAAAAGAGTGATATTGTAAGGGGGATAACTCTATTATATTGTCCTCAACGACATTGACTTCAAAAGACTAATATTGTAAGGGAGATAACTCCATTATATAATTCTCAACAACATTGACTTCAAAAGACTGATATTTTAAGGGAGATAACTCCATTGGTTAATTCTCAACAACATTGACTTCAAAAGATTCATATTGTAAGGGAGATAAAATTGTTCTCGACAACTTAAGTAAAAAAGAGTAATATTGTGAGGGAGATAACTCTATTATGTTGTCCTCAACGATATTATAAGGGAGATAACTCTAATATATTATTCTCAACAACATTGGGACTCACTCCACTAAAACATTTTATGCAAATGATTGTATACGGATGTAGTCCAGGCTATTTTTAGAAATCTTCTTTCTCTCTCCCTTTTGGGGTTTTTGCATGCCTATTTTTGGGTAATTTTTGGTCTAGATTTGGAATTTGGTGTCTGAAATTGCATTATCTTTAAGATTTGGTGAGATGATGAGAGACCTAAAGGCGGAAGGCTAATTCTAAAAATAGTCGTTTTGTGAAGTGCCAAACTCTAGCGAATGAGTATAACCGGTAGTAGTCTACTTTCAATTTTAGTAGCTCAAAATTTTCATGATCATCATATATTGAATTTTTCAGGAGACATTGAGAATTGGTCAGGCTTTCATTCGACATATTGGAAAGCTTTCAACGAGATTTCTGGAAAAAGTGAAGTTGTAGAAGGTTGAATTTCGTGTTTTAACATTGGAAGAGATGGCAAATGAAATAGTGTAGTGAGTCCATTGACTAAAAAAGACTGATATTGTAAGGGAGATAACTCTACTATATATTTCTCAACGACATTGATTTCAAAATACTGATATTGACTGAATTTCCTTCATTCGAGGATCTTTGTATTATGATAACTCTGTAAAGAATTTAAGATACAGATCAAGTCTGGTTCTTTATGTTAGTAAAAGTATGGTGTAATAGGGATCTGTTTGGTGAATTTATCGGTGTTGGTATCCTATCAACAATTTCGATACCCGTTTCCGCTCGGCGGGTATACAGCTAAATCTATTATTTATTGAAAAAAGTATATTTTGTTGTCGACTGTGAATTATATATCATTTATTCTGGTGTCCGTGGGTGACACCTCCCTTGAACTGATAAAATTATAACCTATTTCAACCTGTGTTCAATGTGCCCTCCATTTTCTTTGACCACCAATCGCAACCGTTTTTCCTGTTTGGTTTGAGAGTAGATCATTTATTCCAACAAGAAATCCCCATATGACAACCATAAAGTAGTCTAGAATATGCAATCATTAGCATCAAAAAGTATCATTTGTAAAACTTTAATAGAAATAAGAGAAAAGCACAGAATTATCATTAATTATCGGTAAATTAATACAGTAGTAAAGTGAACTTGCTGATAATAAAATTCGTTGTTCTTATTGTATTAGATCATGTATAATTTATAGAATCTTACGAAATTTAACTTCGTTAATATGTTACCATTGGATTTGTTTTAAAAACAGATCAGACTTTAGAAACTTAGTCACTTTGTTGCTCGTCCTATCCCCAGATATATTCTTTATTCCCTGGTATATCTTCGTCTTCCTTGGACGACATGAAGAAACAAAACATTGAAAGCTTTTCAATGGTTAATGGTTTTAGATTTTATATGTATTAATTTATGTCCGTATTGACGAAATCAGAGCGTAAATTAATAATTGGATGCAGGTATATATATTTATTAAAAGATTTATTTCTAAATCATTGAGGCATGTCTATATTCGATATTAATGAAGCAGTTTTCATATTTTATAGAAAAAAGTTACAATATTCGACATACAGGTTTTACATACATATTTGAAATATTTATTTCATGAACATAGAAATTACCATGAAAGATTGAGTCATCAAAATAATGTCATTTTTTTTCAAAACATACAAGAAAATAATAATATTCCTCTAACTATTCATGTAGATAAAAATAGATATAATGAACAAATTCTTATGGATTACAATTACTAACTTTATTTGAGCGACGTTTCGACCAGTGTTTTGTGGGGCATCTTCTTCTTTCAACATGACAAAGGTGTCGTCCACTTTTCTGTACCAACATAAAGGTTGTATGGGAGATAGTGTT